ACTTAGTATTTGGTGCTGGGACCAGCCCCCCAGACCTCTCCACTGGTTCTCTACTCCGCGCCGGCATGTTGTCTTCACACCTTGGAGCACTGGGTTGAAGTCTGGGGGAGGGTATTGTTTTTTCTCCTCTTATAAGGACAAAAATCAGATTGGATTAGGGCTCACTTATCTTAACCAACTATATCAGTAAACATGCCTTTTCTAAACAAGGTCACAATCAGGTTCCAGGGGGTAGGATGTGACACAGGAGGGAACTAAACTAACCCATCAAAGTTATGTGTATGGTACTGGGAAGGGCACAAACTTTATTCTTTTGCGGGTTGTTATATCCATTTGTCCCAGCACCATTTGGCTAGAAGACTTTTCTTTCCATATTAAATGATCTTGGCATAAATGCTCTTTTTTAAAGAGTACCCTATTCAATGTTCATGAAAACAAAGTCATATTTCACGAAAGCCATGAAAAAACTTAAAAAGATTCATGCTTTTTATTATAATGAGTTCCTTCTAATTTTTTTTAACTTTGTATGTTTATTTTGTCTACTACGTTTTGCAGTAAGGTTTTCTGTAGGTAATCTGTCATCTCAGTTTTCTGCTCATATTTAAGAGCAAAGAACTAAGTTGATTGGAAGCAATACACTCAAGTGGGAAGGTGAGCATATGCTCTATTGTATGCTCTATTTCCTCTGTTTTACTGAGGAAAACTCAGTATCAGTACTTTCCAATACCCTGTCTTGGTGGGAACATTGCTAGATGCTGGAGTTCCAGGAGTTAAAGAAATGAGGCATTCTCAATCTCCAGTAAATATAAACATAAATATATTTTTATTTATATTAAATATAAAGTAAATATAAACATTTATTTTAATGTCCAGTTTTAGTAAGTTAGCTTTATCTTGACCTGTGCCTGGCGTCCCTGGGGTTTTAGCTTCTGCAGAATCAACCTCCGGACATGTTCTGGGGTGTGACATTCAGTGAGGGAGCGGACGAGTGGCTAACTATGTTATTCAGACTTTCAATCGCTATCTCACAGGAGATTAATACAAGTATACCATACACTAATCCACTTAACAACTAACAAAGAGAAGCCATTTGAGGCATAAAGGTTAATATCTGTAACATATTTTGAGAGGGCATAAATCAACCCAAACTTCCGCCAAGTCACTTCCTACTCAACCGTTTGCTTCCTGGTTTCAAATTTTTGGTTGCTACCGTCACTTTCTCATTCTTTGTCCTTTTGTGTTAATGACTATTTTTAATTGTTCTTTTATTTAGGTGGAATTAAATCAGTCATTCGCTCCACTATCTTTTTCTGGCTCAAATCTCTTAAATGAATTAGACTGCAAATACTCGACAAAGATGCCTCCCACAGAGATTTTAAAAGTTCACCCTATTAACGAAGATTTTAAAAGTTCACCCTATTAAGGAATAAATATTGAAAGTATTTACTGTACATCAAGAATTGCTCTAGGCGTACTAAGGAGCTATGAACAAGTCCATGTGTTCATTAAACTTTTGCTCCCACGGCACAGAAAAATAAACAAAATTTTAAGACATGAGGGTGCCATTTTAGTTAAGGAAGTCAGAGAGTACTATTCTGAAAATGTGGCACTTGATTCAGACTTGAATAAAGTAGGGAAATAAGTTGGAGAATGAGTCAAATGAGGCTTTAGCTAAGTGGTTACCCAGGAAACAAATGTAGTATGCCCCACGTATTTAGGACGACACTGGTTTTTGCTGTTGTGAAAGTCTATAGGTGACCCTGATTACGACCACAGATGAAATTGCATCTGGGAAAGGATACCCTAGCTCAGGAAAAAGAACCCTTCCATAAATGCCTTCCCCGAGGTACAAAGACAAAAAGTCCAAAAGGGAGGCAGGAGGTAAACGTAAAACAAAATTTACATGTTGGTGTCTCTCAAGCACTCTTGATCGTCTAGATCAATTGATACAGTCCATAAAGATCATATTTTATTAACCTACTTTGGCGAGCAGTGACTGGGGTGTTGAAAGCTTGCAGGTGGCCATGTAAGCTATAATTAGAGTCTCTTAGTTCTATAAAGTGAACAATAACAACCATAAGAAACATACCCCTTAGAATAACTGAGAGCAAACTGGCCTAAGGGAAGGCAGGAAGGGACAGGCAGGAAGGACGAAGGAAAATGGGTGACCCAGGCAGGGAGAAGTTAGGGTGAGGGGACTTCAACGAATGTCAACTTTCACTCAGAACACAATCAAATGTTCAAAACCAAAGAGAGAGCTCTTGGTAAACAGATTTGGTATAGCTATCGTCCTACAGTAGGCAGGTTACCTACAACCACAGTAGACAGGTTCCTCTTGTTATCACTGCTTTAGGAAAACATCACTTCAATATACATTCCTGGGTCTTTATTGATCAACAATCTTTTAAAAGTATTATCAGAATTCGTAAGCAGCGAGATCTATGGAGTAGAATAGGCCACATAATCCTGATCCCCTGGGCTGGCCTGTGACTGTAGGATATGGTAATCACTGACCTTCTCGTTCAAACCCAGCAGCAGCAGTAGCTGCCCGAGTAATTTTACATCGAGTAATTCTGCTTTGAGCATAGACTTAAGAGTGAGGGAAAGGGAGCATTTTACTCTCCCTACTGTTCCAAAGGTTCAAAAATGTATCCTGCTAGGAGGAAGAACTCCTAAAGATCATTTTGCTCAAATTGGGCAGTGGGGTTTCTGCTATACATAGGTCGCTATGAGTTGGAACAGATTCGAGGGTACCTATTAACAACAAAAATAGAATCTGAATGCAGTCTCTGGCTTTGGCTCACATTAGGACCAGACTCTTAGAAATTACATATGAAGGGGGCTTCACACAGTTCATTAAAAATTACATGGTCCTTTAATACTAGTTTTCCACGAACTTTCTGAAAACACCTTGTATACAAAACCAGGTTCCTAGGGTACGTAAGTAAAAGCAATAAAAATTTTGGCATCATAAGAGGGTATAATATAAATGAGTCACAACTCACTTTGGTAGTTGGAAATAGTGGTTTAAGTAGAATTAGTCCACATAATTGTAGAGCATATCTTTTTGTTCTAGTATAACAAAATACTTTCTATTTGCTAAGCTAAGGGATCAAAGAATACTACAGATAAGATTGAAATGCGTACCATTCAACACATACTTTCCAAATCCTAAAATAAAGTACATGTACTCTTAGCAACTGCCCACAAACATGGTCTTCAATTCGCATTTACCTTTTTAGCTCTTTCAGAAATGGTTGGTGCCCTCTGTAGTATTTTTTCTTGAAGAAATTCTTTATTCTGGCAAAGAAAAAAATGTGTTTTCTTACTAGAAGTTTTAATGAACCAAGAAAATTTTATAGAAATACAGTTTAAAAATAACACATTATTTTACAGAGAACTATCAGAAAAACTTCTGCTCGTTTACGCTTATATTTTTTTAGCACATTACTACTCCTACCAATGGTCTTATAAATTGAGACCGAGATGACTGAACCGAGCTATTTGCTTTGGCATGGTTCCACATTTCCATGTACGGTGACATCTTTGGAAAATAAGATACTTAATAATACCATTGTCAACCTTAAAAATAGAGGTCAGTATTTTTTCACAGATATGCAGTGGCCAAATTGAATATTCATCATTCATATTGTAAATTTAACTTACGTGGGTTAGGTATGGGGCTAACTGTAAGGTTGGTGGTTCAAACCTTTCTCCTTGGGAGAAAGATGAGGCTGTCTTTGCCCCTGTGAAGAGTTACAGTCGTCAAACCTTATTGAGGGTAACTATGAGCTGTATTCAACTTAATGGCAGTGGGTCTGGTGGATATGAATGAAATTTAAGTTTCTATTTAAATTTATTTAATGTTACCAAAATGCTATAGTTCCCTCAACAATTATTGACCTTACTAGCATTCTTCCAATCATCTTAACACAACTATTATGAAATGCACCTTCTGAACATAAGTAGGGCATTGAGGAACATCATATGAACACATATAACCAAAGGTGGGATTTCCTACCTTTGCTTTCTGGAAAAATTTGTGCCTTAACAGTTCTGCTGCTGTTGGTCTAAAATCAGAAGAAAATAAAACTTTTTATAGTTAATTCATGTGTAATGTGGGCTCCCATCTTCAAAAATGACCTTCGTGAACAGTAAGACCAAACCCCCAACTACTTCACTTCCTTTTAACCCGTTTTTAAAAATACAAAAAATAGAATAAGCTTGGTACAAGATGTTGAATAGAATAAAAACCTCAAGTGGGAATGGCTTGATAATAATTATGTAGATTCTTGAAGTTTTTCACTTGTAAAATGTTTCTTCTCGAAATTTGGTTTCTTAGTGATTTCCACTATACAAGAGGTCTTCAAAAAATGGAATTAACTTTTGGAAGCTGCCTCCTAGTTGCTATTCAGTAATATCTGCAAGAATCAGATTATAGAGTATCTGTCCTATCAAATCATGAAAGTACATTTAACCTTACAAAGAGGAGACATGGCCCAAGTATTTTGTCACAGGGCTGTTTCCTACAGGTAACTACAGATTCTTAAAAAGTAGACTTCACAATTGCCTTTACAAAATCAAAGACTCTGAAAGTTAAGTTTGTTCCCCAAATTTAGACTCAGTTTACAACTCGGCTATTCATCCTCTTGTTTTCAAGTAAAGCTATCAGGCCAATTTCACTGACTCTCAAAAGAGGTCTGGCTCAGAGGGAAGAATATGCACTCTGACATCACCACACCCCTACAAGTGCACTCGCAGAAATCCCAACTTCTCCGTGGTTCTGGACTATCCGGCTAAGAGCAGATTACAATTCCTGAGAGTTTTAAAATTCCCCAATGCCCAGAGTGCACTCTTAACCAATTAGAGCAGAACCTCTAGGAGAAGACCCAGCTGCTGGTAGTTAGTAAAACTCTCCTGGTGGTTACAACACACACTCAAACTTTAAAACCAGTGCCTTAGAGAATTACTGTAAAGGCTGAAAGACAGAATCGTTTTGAAAGCGCTATGAAAACTAAACATGTGTAATGAGATGAATATAATAAATGTAATGAGATGAAAATTAATTAGGTATTCCCTAAACTAGAAGTTTTACATTGTGTCCATAACCATCAGATTTTTTTTTAATTAGAAAAGAAATTAGCTGGAAGTTTATCTGGAAATGTGTACACTTAATCTAAAACAAAAACATTCTGCGAGGGAGAAAGGCAGGTGTGTGTGTGTGGGAAATCTACCATATATCAGAATAGTAATTGTGATACTGAGCCACTGCACTGGAGCAGGACAAAAATCAGACATAAGCATCTACAATTTCAGTTTCTTTGTTTTTTGCCCCCTCCCTCCCCCATCCTCATGAACCCTCGATAATTTATAAATTATTTTTATTTTCATATTTTACACTGTCCCCCTTCACCCACATTACTTTGTTCATGGGGGTGGTGGTTGTGTGTCAATCATTGAGATTGGTTCCCCGTTTCTCCCCCCCACTTCCCCACTACACTCCTGGTATCACTACTCTCATAATTGGTCCTGAGAGGTTTATCTGTGCTGGATTCCCTGTGTGTTGAGAGCTCTTATCTGTACCAGTGTACAATGTTCTGGTCTATCCAGAATACCAGAGTTTCAAGATGTGCTACATGTCGGTAAATTGGGGGATGGGGGGTAATTAGAAATACAAGCTGCAGGTAACCGTAGGTAGCTGTAATAAACAGCCTGCCACTGAGGCCAGCTGCGACATCAGTTCATGTTTTCCTCTAATTTATGACTTCCCGCATTATTTCTAGCATCTGAGGACCTCCTTTTTTTTAAAAACATTTTATTAGGGGCTCATACAACTGTTATCGCAATCCATACACATCAATTGTGTAAAGCGCATTTGTACATCATTCTCAAAACATTTTCTCTCCACTTAAACCCCCGACATTAGGTCCTCATTTTTCCCCTCCCTCCCCGCTCCCCCCTCCCTCATGAGCCCTTGATAGCTTATAAATTGGTATTTTGTCATACCTTGCCCTGTCCGACGTCTCCCTTCACCCACTTTTCGGTTGTCTGTCCCCCAGGGAGGAGGTCACACACAGTTCCCTGTAATCGGTTCCCTCTTTTCTACCCATTCTCCCTTTACCCTCCCTGTTTCGCCACTCACAGCACTGGTCCTGCAGGGCTCATCCATCCTGGATTCCCTGTATTTTCAGTTTCCATCTGTACCAGTGTACCTCCTCTGGTCTAGCCAGACTTGCAGGACCTCCCTTTTTTGCAAGCTCACTTTTGGACTTTTAAAAAAGTTTGATATATTTCACCTGTTATTTCTAGGTGCTTCTAACAAGAGAGTTTCCATTTTAGTCAATAACTTGGCAGACCACATGGTTCCTTACCTTCTAACTACTGTATATACTCATGTATAAGCCGAGTTTTTCAGCACATTTTAAAATGCGGTTTTTGTGGTAAAATTAGGTACCTTGGCTGATACTTGGGTCAGCTTATACTCAAGTATATATGGTACTTATCCAGAAATAGGAAAACATAAAAAAAACCAAACAAACAACAGAACAAAACCCAAGTATAAACTTTGCATTTTCTCCCTTTCCAGTATATCCAAAAGTAAATGATGGAGCCCCATTTAAGAAAAAAGACACAAATAAATCTTGCCATATAACAGTGTCCCATGGTCACCCCAGAGTAAGAGACACTCCTGTAATGGTAATCAGTGTATCTTAAGGGGGATCCATAACCAAAGGAGATGGGGATACATCTGTCTCCAAGAAGGTGGACCTCACTTCTGCTGGTGGGTAAATCAAGGAGGAGCAGCCTGCATTCCAGGAAAGCATTCATTACACAGTCTCCCAAGAGGAGAATCTGCCCAGCAGTATCTTGCTAGGCATACATTGTTGGCCCAGATTCTCTTCAGCCCTAGGCGACTATGGTGGAGTGCTATACACTAACTGGATTTTAGGTTTTGCCTTTTTAAGGCATCCAGCATTCTTCATAGGCCACATCAGATTGTGATTTGGAAACCCCATGAGGGGAAACAGACTTTACCTTAATCACATACCTGTTGCAGATGAAAGGATCTGAAATACTCCTTTGGACTCAAAGCGAAATAAACCTACTGTGAGAAGCAGGGGACTGCTATCCCACAAGTATCTGGAAGTCAGCGAACTTTGGTTTAAATCTCTTGCTTCTGAGGTTGTCCAATAATTGTCATGTACCACTATCATGTACCTGCCCTTGTCATACTTTCTTTGCTTTTTGTGGTGTGTCGTAGTCCTGCAGACAGTTTTGCCTCAGTGAATGTGTGACTGAAATTTTTGCCTTGTGTTGCTTTTATAAACAGTATTCAGTTACTTGTTTTTAACCCATATTACTAAACATGCTCTGTATTTCAGTCTACAAAGCTTTCCAAAGTATGTATGTTTTCCTTTGCTTAATAGTACTTTTAATTCTATACCACTAACTAGATTGATAGTACTATTATTAGAATGACCAAATATCTCATGGAGGTTACTTACATTTCAACAAGCCGATAATGCTGCCTCTAAAGTGGATCACGGATATACATACACTTTAGATATACAGATGGATTTTGAGCTTGCATGTAATTCTAAACCTTAACCTACGAACCTATTCAATACTTGCCCTTATGAAGTGATCACTGAAGATATGGGTGTCACGGCAAAGTGTGGTGAAGAAATCAGACAGTGCCGGACTATGCCTGGAGCCTTAAAAGTAAGTAGCCACCTCACTAAGAAGTCAGCTAAGTCTACACAGAAGCCTATGACCACGTGATCCAAGCATTGTAAATAAAAACTCCAGATCCGAGATGGGATTGTATTAGAGCTTAACTTCTGAATGCCTGGTTTGCATTTGGCTATGGATGACAGTCAAAGGCCAAAATCCACTTGCAGAATCCCTGGGTACGTTTCGCCTCCATTGAACTCCCAGATTCCTGACTGCAGATGTGCATAATCGCGCATGGAGACACGAGTGGAACGTTCACTGCTGGAGATCAGTTCAGTTAACATGGCACACATTAACAGTTTCTTTCCCTTGTGACTTAGTTCACATTTGTTTTAGTTTCATTATCCTCGGTTTTCTTTTGGATCGAGGTTTTTCTGTGTCTTATTTTGTTATCTTTTTAAAATGTGATTTTCTTTAAGAAAAAAAAAAGATTTTCTTTTTATGAAATCAGCTAGGAAAGTTAACTAGATTAATAGATCGCTAGGGTTATGGCATAGGAGCCATGGTGGTGCACTGGTTACCTGTTGGGCTGCTAACCATGAAGTCAGGAGTTTAAAGCCATGAGCAGGCCCCGGGAGAAGATGGAGCTTCCAACTTCCGTAAAAAGTTACAATTTCATGGCATTCTATGATGCTCACCTTCCCGACACAACCGCTGAAGACAAAGCGGGTGAATAAGCAAATGTGGTGAAGAAAGCTGATGGTGCCCG